CGAACAAGTGCAAATGATGTTTCCACTCTTTTGCCGTTGCCAATGACAATCTGCTATTTTTATAATATATTAGTATTATTAGAATATATTATTAGTATATCTGAAGTACAGAGCTTCCGTTTGGATTCGGCTTGCTCCCTTGTTTATTATGTACATCACCTCAGTGCAGGGTATTTACATTTATTCAAGTGTTGTGCAAATCATGGCTCCTAAAAAAACAGAAAGATGATTTCAATTGAAGCAAAGCAAGACATCATCAGGAGTGAAAGTTGACAAAAACTTCCTTGTCAAATGGGGAGAGGTTAAGGAGTTTACCAACACTCATTATCCAAACACAGCCAAGGCCAACAGGATCAATGATCTCTACAATGACACCCTTGCCCGTCATTTCCGACAGGTGTTGAAGAAGAGAGAGAAACAAATCACCTTAGACATGTTTTTCAAGAAGCAAGCTGCCAAAAAAACAAAGGATGGAACAAGAGGAGATGACCCTGCAATCTCCGGTAGCCTCTCCTGAATCTGACTCCGATTATAAAACAATAAAAAGAGACCTGCTGAAATGTGTACAAAGTCTGTATCTGTATGAATGTGTAAAGAAAGTGTTCCTCCACCTCCTCCTCACAACATCTGACTACCCAGCATAATTGGTGACTACTCCATTTTTATTTTTTTATGGTACAGTACGGTTATTTTATGCTGCGGAATGAATTATATGTTTTAACATGTATTTCTATGGGAAAATGCGTTTCGTATAACGGACTTTTCACTTAACGGATGTGCACCTGGAACAGATTAAGCACATTATATGAGGCACCACTGTACTTATAATTTTCTATATGTTTGACTCATATAAGTTATGTTTAAACTTTATAATCTATTTGAAATTTTGAGATGATAAAAAAAAAGTCACACAACATCGTATGATAAGTTAGAACAGAATAAAAATTCAGAAAGTTCAATTTTATTATTTACTGTCATCTTAGCTTTGTTGCTTAGATACGGCAACAAAATGATACATTCAAGATCCAGTACATTGGCTCTGTAAAGTTATGTGAAAGAATCTCATTTTAGTTTTTTTAAAATATTAGATTTGACTTAGATTGGACTCTGTATTGTCTGTATATAGACAATTTATTTTCAGAGTGTGTATTAAAGGACCAATATATTAAAGGCTTGACATCAAAAGAGGACTAAAGCACAGACGAATTTCAAAAGAATGACACAAAATTTATTTGAAAAAAACCTTAAATTCAGTAAAAAACTATTTATCACTTTTACACACATGACTCACTATGTAAATTTGCTTTTTTTTCTGTTTATTGTGTTCCATTCTAGAATCTGAAGATGGCCATTATACATGGTTGAAAATGTTTGTTCCATTAATAAATGTTCTCTTTTTTTTATTAGATTTAAGGTTTTTTTAGAATCAATTATAGTAATAGTTTCTACTGTTAGCAAAGTATTATTATTATTATTGTAGATCAATATGACTTGTAAAGAAATTTACTTATTTTGTAGACAGGTACTGTATATTTCTTTAAAATAGAGATGAAATTTGCTATGTATTGTTCTGTAATATCTGAGAACACTGGAAAAATTAATGTTTTACTATTCACAAATATGCTATCTTCATATTAAAATAATAGATTTTCTAGTACCAAGTGTTGAATTTTTTAAAAAATTTCATCAAGATATAAAATTAGCTGAATTAATTGCTGTTAATTAAATACAGTGGTACCTCGGTATACGTCTGCTTTAGAATATGTCAAATTCGGAATACGTCCTATTTGGACGAAACAAATTTTGCTCAGTATACGACTTAATTATATGCGCCATCTATGAACAAGTAGCACTATTGGTGTACTAGACTAGACTAGACGTTCGCGGTGTCACAGTTTATAACTTTGTTAAATTTCTTCTGATTTTAATTTGTAAGTAAAATTTTATTATTTTTATTAATCATTAATTGCAAAAAGGCAAATGAAAAGCAACAGAAAACTAAAAAATGACTAGAATCACAATGGAACTGAAAAAAGAAATTGTTGAGAAATATGAAGGTGGCATGCGTGTTCGAGATTTTAACTGTTGCATATTGTATTCTGAGAACGATGATATCGACAATCATGAAAAATAAAGACATTATTAAATCTGCTAATGTTGCGAAAGGGGTTAAATCAATTTCTAAACAGAGATCAAAGACATTAGATCATGTTGAGAAATTGCTTTTGCTTTGGATAACTGAAAAACAATGTGCTAGAGACAGCATATCAGAAGCAATTATTTGCGAGAAAGCTAAAAAGTTACAAGCTGATCTCATGAAAAAATCAAGCAGGAACTAACCAGCCAGAAAAGTGAGGTGTTTAAAGTCAACTATTTTTTTTTACATGAGAACGGATTAATCATTTTTACATTACTTCTTATGGGAAAGGTTGGTTCAGTATACATCCTGTTCGGTATAAGTCCAAACATCAGGAACGGGTTAAGGTCATATACCAAGGTTCCACTGTACTTTTAGATCATTTGTTATTTAAATCATTTATATTTTCAAGATTTAAACAATGTTTCAACATTCAAAATTTAAGTATATATATATTTTTTATTTTCTGTAAACATAGAAATTCAAAACTAAAAAAAAAATCATTATTATTTCTTTCATTTTAGGTTGGAGATATCATTAAAGTGACAAAGACCAACATAAATGGACAATGGGAAGGCGAGCTGTGGGGCAGAGTAGGTCATTTTCCATTCACTCACGTCGAATTCATCGACTCTGACAATCCTGAAGAATCCACTGAATGCTAGCTTCCATTACCAATCTCACTGCGAGAGTCCATTTAGCTTTAATAATACTCCGTCGCATTTATATTAACAAATGATTTGAACATCAGTTGAGCAGTTCAGTAGTAATTACAGTCAATAACAGATTTTTTAAAACATTTATTAATTAATGTAAATATGTTAAATATTTATTTATTTAATATTTATAGTTTTCAAACATGGTTTTGATTCAATTTATTATGTTCCATTCTAGAATCTGAAGATGGCCATTATACATGGTTGAAAATGTTTGTTCCATTAATAAATGTTCTCTTTTTTTTTATTAGATTTAAGGTTTTTTTAGAATCAATTATAGTAATAGTTTCTACTGTTAGCAAAGTATTATTATTATTATTGTAGATCAATATGACTTGTAAAGAAATTTACTTATTTTGTAGACAGGTACTGTACTGTATATTTCTTTAAAATAGAGATGAAATTTGCTATGTATTGTTCTGTAATATCTGAGAACACTGGAAAAATTAATGTTTTACTATTCACAAATATGCTATCTTCATATTAAAATAATAGATTTTCTAGTACCAAGTGTTGAATTTTTTAAAAAATTTCATCAAGATATAAAATTAGCTGAATTAATTGCTGTTAATTAAATACAGTGGTACCTCGGTATACGTCTGCTTTAGAATATGTCAAATTCGGAATACGTCCTATTTGGACGAAACAAATTTTGCTCAGTATACGACTTAATTATATGCGCCATCTATGAACAAGTAGCACTATTGGTGTACTAGACTAGACTAGACGTTCGCGGTGTCACAGTTTATAACTTTGTTAAATTTCTTCTGATTTTAATTTGTAAGTAAAATTTTATTATTTTTATTAATCATTAATTGCAAAAAGGCAAATGAAAAGCAACAGAAAACTAAAAAATGACTAGAATCACAATGGAACTGAAAAAAGAAATTGTTGAGAAATATGAAGGTGGCATGCGTGTTCGAGATTTTAACTGTTGCATATTGTATTCTGAGAACGATGATATCGACAATCATGAAAAATAAAGACATTATTAAATCTGCTAATGTTGCGAAAGGGGTTAAATCAATTTCTAAACAGAGATCAAAGACATTAGATCATGTTGAGAAATTGCTTTTGCTTTGGATAACTGAAAAACAATGTGCTAGAGACAGCATATCAGAAGCAATTATTTGCGAGAAAGCTAAAAAGTTACAAGCTGATCTCATGAAAAAATCAAGCAGGAACTAACCAGCCAGAAAAGTGAGGTGTTTAAAGTCAACTATTTTTTTTTACATGAGAACGGATTAATCATTTTTACATTACTTCTTATGGGAAAGGTTGGTTCAGTATACATCCTGTTCGGTATAAGTCCAAACATCAGGAACGGGTTAAGGTCATATACCAAGGTTCCACTGTACTTTTAGATCATTTGTTATTTAAATCATTTATATTTTCAAGATTTAAACAATGTTTCAACATTCAAAATTTAAGTATATATATATTTTTTATTTTCTGTAAACATAGAAATTCAAAACTAAAAAAAAAATCATTATTATTTCTTTCATTTTAGGTTGGAGATATCATTAAAGTGACAAAGACCAACATAAATGGACAATGGGAAGGCGAGCTGTGGGGCAGAGTAGGTCATTTTCCATTCACTCACGTCGAATTCATCGACTCTGACAATCCTGAAGAATCCACTGAATGCTAGCTTCCATTACCAATCTCACTGCGAGAGTCCATTTAGCTTTAATAATACTCCGTCGCATTTATATTAACAAATGATTTGAACATCAGTTGAGCAGTTCAGTAGTAATTACAGTCAATAACAGATTTTTTAAAACATTTATTAATTAATGTAAATATGTTAAATATTTATTTATATATGTAAAAGTATTACATATACACTTGCAACAAAAGATACAATCAATTATCAAGTATACAGATTTTTATTTAACCACAATATGTGAATTTTACAAATAATACCACACTCATTACATTTCCATTTTTAAAAATGTTTAATTAACAGGAATAATGGAATGATTTTTAATTATAATTTTGTAAAAATTGAAAAAGCTTGGAACTAAAAATCTCTTAATATTTTTTAATGCAATAAATGGAAAAGCATAAAAATGCATTAAGCTATAATTCATTTGTAATAATGTATGTTGAATACAGTTAATTGTGCCAAAATGCTCAATAAGCTTTATTGTTTTTATGCTTTAACATTATAATTTATTGCATTGTCTTGTCATTTGTGTGTTTAGCAATTTAAATTGCATCAATTCTAAAAAAATTTTTCTTCAAAATTTTCCTGTGAGAAACAAATTAGTAACAGATTTCTCCACTTATGCTTAATTTCCAATTTTAACTTTTTCATGTTTGTTTTAATAACTAAAATTGATAAAACAGCAGATATATTAATTTTTTTTTCCTTCTAAATTTCCCCCTCTCAATTGAAATCAAATTTTGCATTTTTATTTATGTTAATGTTAGGAAAACAAAAACATTGATCAAAATTCTCTTAAACTGACAATGTCATTTATACTAAAGATTCATCACTTCAAAATAATTTGTGTTGTGGATGGTGTGAAAGTTGAATGAATGCAATATGCAGTAAAGATTCCAAGCTTGTATAATCTCAGTTGTATGTTGCATAAGAATGGATGACTTTAATCAAACAGTATGTAAAAATATACATAAGAGTACAGAAAATATGTAAAGACTGTGCCCTTCAGTATTCAAGATATTTGTTTTTGGCCATACATTTTATATGGCTTATTTTGGTTAACTCTTTATTAATGCACACATTTACCAAATAAAACTTTTAACATTTGCTTGCATCAGTCTCCAAATTAGTATGATTATCCACACTTATTTCACTTTCACTTGTCATTTCAGAACTTTCTGAGCATTTATTTAAGTTCATCTCATTCGGTATCATTGCATTTGGTTACTTCCGTAGTCACAAAAATTGAAATTAATATATTTTCAGCTGTTAATCTCTTTGATATATTGTAATTATAGTAAGAAACAATTGGCACATCAATTGGTCTTTAATAAAAGATATTAAATAATATACATTTTTGATTAAGTTGAGTGTTTAATTTCTGTTAGGAAGGTTAAATCAAAATTAGTTGCAACTTTCTGTGCATATAATTATAGTTACTGTCAAAGTAAAATGTATTTTCAATTTTGCAAAAATTGATGTAGTTGCTGTTTTATCAGTTTCATATGGTTTTATAATTGAAAAAAAATTAATTTATACTCATGAAAAAGCATTCTGACATCCTTTATTACTCAGGAACTGAAACAATGATTTTATCTTCACACAATTTTTATCACAAGTCAAAAATGTAGTTTAAGATGACTGAATTATTCAGTTGAAAATTTTATAATTTCAGAAATTATATTAAATTTTCAAAGATATTTTACACTATCATTGGTATCCATTTATGTTGTTATTTTTGCTTCTTTCAAAGCAGTGACTGTTTGAAAACAGACTGCTTGCAGTTAGAATTACAGTAAATAAGGTAGATATCAACCATGGAGTAAAAATAGTTTTGTATATCTCTCATATTTAATAAAGCTACAGATTTTATACAATTATTTGCCATTTTATGCAATTATAATTATATAAATTGGCAAATATTAGAAAATGCAGTTGAGTGAGACATATTTTAAAGTAGAAATACACCAAAACATATCTTGCTTGTGTTATGCAAATGTGTTGGAGTGCTTCTTCAAAGAGATTCTTCATCCTCTTTCACTTCAATGTTTTTTATTTTATTTTTAAGATCTTTGATTTCTCATTCCATCTCATTTGTATTTTTTATTTATAGATCTGTACGAAATTACTCGATGTTTAGTTGTTCCTCTAAACTGCAATTATTAAATTTCACATAATTCCATTCACTCTATAATAACCAATTTTCCATACTTGACTTTTTTTAATTAATTATGCACTATTAATTTTATTATTTTTCCCAATGCACAAGGAGGGAAACATCACACGGTTGTATTGTATATTTGTGGTTTCTGTGATATCATAATTTTTGTTGTGACGTTTTAGTAAGCGCAGAACTTAAATCCTTGTCTTGTCTGAATGTTGCTTTTTTAAAAACCTTACTACAACTCGTAGGTGCCAAAATCATTGAGAACATTCTCGGACGCTAGTCCATAAAGATGCCAAATTATTTGGAGATTCCAAACTCCCTCTCTTGTGGAACGGTTTGTGGATCTCTAGAAAAAATTCCTCTTCTAGAAACTTTTAATTCAAGAATATCTAAGACAACAACGTAATACCATATATCTTTGCATATATATATACAGTATATACATGTATAACTATCTAAAACTTACAATATACTTAAATAATTTTTACCTTCTAGTCAGAATTTAGTTTATTTTTAATTATATTTAAAAAAGAAAAATTTGTTAAATTAAAATTATTTACAAGAGTTTTTTTTTAATTTTAGAGAGAACTATAACAAATTTTAGCCCATTTTATTGTAAGTTAAAATTTGTTTTTCTCTTGTATGTCAATTTATGCTTTAATAAAAATGCAGTGAGATAATTATTGAAGTTTCCTGTGATTAATAAAAGATGATTATGCAAATTTTAGCAATTATTACCTCCGAAAAGCCATATTTAAGGATGCCTTTTCCACATTTCTCTTCCATTTCTAAGTTATAACAACCTCTGACACAAAACTAGAAAAAAAAATCGAAAGAAAGTAGAGGAAACTGTGAAGAAGTAGAGGGGGAACTTCATAATTCAATTTTCCGGATTCCATTCTTCCAATTCTTTCTCATAAATGGCATCCCTCAGGCCAACTCCTCCAGTAAAACAATCTTTTAATGACAGCAATTTGGCCAATTTGATGGCCAGATTGACATTGGCGAGGAAGAAAAAGATTTCTAGAGTGGAGGGGAATAGAATGCACCTCCTCCTTCCTGTATATGTCTGCGTAGTTCGGGAGAGTATTCGTAAATGGGGGATTCGTGGCCCCCATGAGACGCAGAGAAACTTTTTTTTTCTCCCCCTTCCTATTTTCTAGTAACGCGTCACGTGATCGAAGGAAGAGACGGAAGAGGGTGATGTGACGGCAGATCGTGGTGTGAAGTCGATCCGGTTGCGCCCGAAAACAGTTGACAGAAGGAGAGCCGATGGAGGTGGAACGACTTATCGACTCTTTCTTGCCAAACGGGGTGAGTTTTTCTTGGTTTTTATGTGTAATTTTTGTGCGTAAACACTTCCGTTTTCTCTTTAACACGAGCACGTAAAAAGCCACCTTACACCGAACACTTGCAAATAAGGGTCACTTCGACTACGAAACGTGTAGAGGTACTGTACGTTTGTTTAACACTACGCTACACAATATTCAAATCAGTCAGCGATACCTGTACAGGTGGGTGTGCTTTTTTTAAGAAGGAAAAGGTCAGGTACACTAACCAAAATGAGTACAGTTTTAGGTTATGCGATAGAGTTTATTCTTTTTTTTTAATACTTAAGACACTTCGAACGGTTTTGTCTCTAAATAAAGGCAAGCAAAATCTCTAACAAATGTATAACTAGTGGATAAAATTTTAGTTAAATACAAGAATGAGTCAGAGTTTAGAGCGTGGGTGAGGAAAAAAATCCGTTTTCGTTACGCAACTAGACAGATAACCTCTTTGGTGATTAATTTGCATACAAGCTAGCACTCCTCTCTCTCTTTGTTTGACGCTTAATCAAAATTAATCACCTCCCCCGATAAAGTTTTAACGTTATCTCAATTAACAGGCTGCTGCGACGTCATAATTATCAATCCCAAGCAAACACTTAACACTCTGGTGTGACGTAGATGCTGGGAAAACACCTCTCGACACTCTTCTACCGAGTGGTTTATTTTTTATATAGCGTATAAACATTCTTTAACCCTCCCTCTTTGCTTAAAGTGTCCTTAATTCCGTCTGGGGTCAAAGTTCGTTTATGCACACTGCGGCGTGGGGAGAAGGAATCCGAAACTGATTTATGATTCCGGACTTAAACAAACAGTTGGACAACGTAAATTTTCCAGTTTCGTTTTGTCCCCTCGCCCCTCCGTCGTGTTTAGATTGCAGCTAGTGTTTCGTTTGTACTGTCGTGTGTAAAACGCGCGTTAGATGGGGTTGAACTTTCCGAATTTCGTCTGCTATCCGAGCGATAATGTTATTAATCAAAGCGCCGTTCCCTTATCTGTATCGCACAGTTTTCCTGTTCTTTCCTTTTTCACACTGGATATAATAAGTCGATTTTTCTGCCGCCTTGTGTGACGTCACGGACGATGAGGCTACAATCGTCCCGTTTCTTTTATCGCCCGGATAGGAAGTGACGACGGCGATTTCTTGTCTCGCGATTTAAGCTTAGTTCACACTGAGCGCGATTCGCTGGAGAAAGCGAAAAACAGAGCGAATAACCGGTCAAACATGACTCGTTTGACGGGTTATTCGCTCTGTTTTTCGCTTTCGCCAGCGAATCGCGCTCAGTGTGAACTAAGCTTTAGGGTTCGTTTGCGAGCTAATTTTTTTTCTCGCGCGAATCCCCCGAATGCGTTTGTCGGTCACGTGACGTTACAAATAGCGAGGCTCTGCCTGTAGCTTAATTGCGTGTGATCCTGCAGTGAAATTAACAACCCGCTAATTTGATCGCGTGACTAAATGGGGAGCCGGAAGGCGAGCTCGAGTTTCCAAAGAAGAAAAAAAGTGACTACTTCCGCGAGTAATTGGATTTCCAAGTTTCGTTTGTTAAGGATCGGGTTCGGATCTTAACCGGAAGTCTACCCATTTTGTTTTGAAATTCGACTCTCGCGCTCTCCGAATATCCCGAAAAACTAAACTAAACTAAACAGAACATCAAATTTTAGAGTTTAAAGACACTGTAAAAGGATTTGCTAAACTTGTATGGGTTTTTCTCCACGCTTCACTCGTCCCGCTTCCCCCTTAGACCATGAACTAGGATACGATCGTCCCCCCTTTTGTCGTCTCCTCGGGAGAATTTATCGCGCGTAATCTTCGCGGAAAATCGAAAACGTCCGTCGTAAATTTGTCGACCCTTAAGCGTTATCTTTCCTCTCTCTTTCTGCGTTGTTTATGGAGTGCCCCCTCCCCCTTCGGCCCCATTGTTGTTCCAATGTGTTCTCGTCACTCGTTAGGACAGTTTTTTCCGAACTCCTTCCCCGTTTGTTGCGTGGCGAAACGTTTTCGGAATTTTCCATCGGAGACGTCGCCGAAACCAAAATTTGTCGCCTTTTCTAAAACCCTTTCGCTACTGTAATTAGCGATTCGGAGGATTTACCTCCAACTCTCTCGATGTAGTGTTGAGACGATCGTCGGAAATTCCTCCCGTATTACCTATTTTTCGGGACTTAGTAGTGGATGCACGAGAAATACGATTAAAATAACCGTTTTACCATTAGTTTTTTTAATTTATAAAAAATTATTAACTAGCGCAGGGTTTTGTTTTAGTGGCGAATCGCGACAAAAATCCTATTAAAATTTTACAATAGTCGTGCGCATATTTTAGTGGCAACTTAGATTTTTAGGGTGAAAATGATTAAAATTGGTAGAATTTAAGACGTCGGTAGCTCGCTACTACTAAAATTCGATAAATAAATAGAGTTTATCCCGTTTTAAAAAGATATTTGAAGAAATTCCGAGTTTTATAACTCCAGAATTTATTTCCAACTAAAAAAAACCCCAAAATAAAGGTTTTCGAGGAATTACCTCTAGATCTTACTTCCGACGAGATAAAATTTCGGAGGTTTGTAGAGAATTATTTCACTATAAACTCCTAATTTTTCCCCCTAACTCGAAGCCAGAGGGGGGTAAGGTAATCGGAACGAAAATGTCCGCAATTAGGCTAAGTAGAACATTAAGAGAGTGGAACTTTTAACTGATTGATTTTTAAATACATTTTTATTGACAGAGATGCACCTGAAAATGTTTTCTTACGTCATAGGATTGGTGGCCTCGCTGATGACGTCCGTAGCAGGAAGCGGTAAGTAAACGTGGGAGGAGTTTTTTTTCTTCTCTAAACTCATCTCGCACGTCTCGTCCATTTAATACGATCGCCGCTTTCCACATTCAATTTAAAATTCGATTTTAAAATATCCCTGAAAATTCAATTTTTTTTAAAAGTGAACGGTACCAAATTTTATTAGAGAAAAATTCACTTAAAAATACATTTTTCCATTTTAAAAATGTATTTTTAATTGCATTTCCCTCCTTTTATTATGGGTTAACGATGTTTTAACCACGCATCGTTAAAATTTTATTACACATTTTCTTGACATCAAATTTTTTTTCTTCTCTTTTATGTAGGATGCAGCAAACCTCTGGGAATGATGAATGGTGCTGTGGAAGACTGGCAAATCAGCTCTAGTTCGGCCCTCTCCCCTCTCCAGGATCCTGGCTGCGGTGCCAGGCATGCCCGGCTCCTGCGGACCGGTGGCTTTGCCTGGTGTCCAGGCCACCCGGAGGCTTATGAGTGGCTGCAGGTGGATTTTGGTGTACCTGCCAAGGTGAGGCTCATTCCTCTACAAATCTGAAACTTGTTTCATTGTTGGCACATAAATCGAATGACATGTGTGATAAGTCTCAAGATCTCTGTATGGTTAAACAATGGATTGACACGAGCGCATATAAAGATGTTCAGTGGCTGTATGTGGGATTTAATACTTTTGCAAATCAATAGGCAAAATGCACAACTTAATATTCAGAGTATGATTAGGTTTTTTCCAGAGATCTATTTTTCCATGTTGTGGATTGGATTACAATAGCTATAATGTTTGGCAGTTTGAACAACAACGTAGATATTAATATCTTACCTGGTATTCTATGCACGCTAACGGAATCAGCTTTGTTTTTCAGGTGACTGGAATACTGACACAAGGTAGAGGAGACGGTCGCCAGTGGGTGACATTGTATCTGGTATCTCATAGTATGGATGCCTATCATTGGAAATATTGTAGTGATATTTATGGAAAAAGAAAGGTAAGTTGTAGATATAGTTAAAATCTTGCACATGGTAATCAAAAATATCTACTACTGTAATTTTTTCCATGTACAGTTGTTTAAAGGAAACATAGATTCTCATTCCATAAAACATTCCTATCTGCAATTTCCAATCACTGCTCGTTTTCTCCGTATTCATGTGATGGAATGGCATAAGTATCCCAGCATGCGGATGGAAATTATTGGCTGTCAAGGTTGGCACCATCATGATGTTTAACATGTATGCTTTGAATTTCTAACAAAATCTGTATTTTTTAGAATGCAATGAGATAATAAGTCTTCCTCCAAGAGCAAAAATGTCCGCTTCTAGCTCGCGACCTTGGAAGAAACAAAGAACTTGCACTCCGGATGATGCGTACATTTATGGCAGAGGAAGCTGGTGTGCCAGGCATAATGACGGTGAGTCGGCCTTAGATCTGTCGACTCTAACTCACAATTACCGTCACATTTGTTTTCTTTAAATGCAGTTCACCAGTGGTTGCAGGTTGATCTTGGTCCGCCGACCATGGTCACGGGAATCGTTACGAAAGGGAGGGCGGACAGCAGAAGAAAACAGTGGGTAACTTCTTATACGTTATCTTATAGCAACAACAGTGTAGTATGGTACCTGTACAAAGAAGATAGTTCTAACAATCCACAGATAACGGTGAGTTTGTCAGAAAATTAACTGTCATTTTTCCCATCTAATACTAACTAAAGTACATGCAGGAATTGGGCGGTAACATGGATAAAGACACGGAGAGACGCCATTATTTAAACAGGCCCTTCGTGGCACGATACATCAGGATCCATCCGACTCGCTGGAAGGGACGACTGAGCATGAGAGTCGGCATCATTGGCTGTCTACATACGGGTCAGTAAAATTTTGCTTTAAGTCATCATTCAAAGTGGCACTAATCAAGTGAAATTTTAGGAGCCTGTCCACCAGGATTTATGAGATTGAATGAGGATACTGAATGCGGTAAGATTTATTTTGATCATATCAATATACACGATCAACCATAATGAAGTTTAAGTGTAGTGTAACAAACTCCAATTTACTGGCTGTTTTATTATATGGAATGAATTTGTCATATATGGCCTCTAGTAATGCCTGTCCATTAACAGCTTTACTGTTGAGACTGATTGCCAAGTCTGATAAAAAATATATTTTGGATTGATCTAGTTATCCAACATTCTTCTAATATATTTTTCTTAAGAACACCAAATCTGGTTGATATGGTAAATTTTGTAATTAGGATTTCTGAGTCTTAGTTTTGGAAACAGAAATTTATCCATGCAGTTAGTTGAAATTACTTTCATAAAAACAATACTGTATGCAAAAATTATATATTTCAATATATTTGTTTGTATTTGATACACAAGTTCTTATTTTACTAATGAACTTCCTGAAGAGAGAGATAATTGTTGTTATACTTATTCCCTTGACATGCAGAGCTGCCACAGATTAATAATAATAATAATAACAAACATTTTTTTGTACAGTACAGGGAGGTTTTGAATCATTGTAATCAATTTCTATTATATACACTTAGTTTCAATCAGTAACATCAAACACTATAACACTAAGATATAAAAAGTTGTTTTACAAGGGAAAGTCATAAATAACAGGAATTTTATAGTTTCTTTACAGAAGTATTCTTGTGAAAAAGTTGTTTGTGCCTTATGTTTCAACATAATCTGGAAGCTCATGGACAAAGTGTGCTTTACAGCATACTTGATCCAGACACCTTCGAGGAAAAGCTTTTTGTTGTGACCTTTAACCAATTTTGCACTGCCTCTATTATCCTGGTGTCATTGGTCGAGAAACTTCCAAACTTGGAAATGTTCTTTGCACCATTTCCACTTGTTGGACCTTTTGAAAGTCTGGATTGTACTATGGATGTTTTGTCACCTCAAATTTCAGATCACTGCACACCCACATGGGGCCAGGTGTTCTCTAAAGGAGTTTTTCTGCTTCATAACAAGTCCCAGACATTTCAGTCGTATTGTGGGCTTTGATTTGTCCAACGGCATGTCACGATATTGAGCATTACTTGCAGTTCAACCCTTATCCTGGAAGTGCACCAATATAAAGCCATCGACATTCCAAAATATTGAATGCATGACTTTCCCGACAGAAGCAAACATCTTGAATTTTTGGCCAACACATGCTTCTGCTGTGCCGATCATCTCTTACTCTGTTTCCGTAATGGCTCATCTAGCTTTCATTGGAGAAAAGCATCTCCTTCCCAAGCATAATAATGCAAGTGTACTTGACAAGTCAACCTCGACTATAGAAAAGTGTGTAGCAGATATCATGCATAATATTTTTGTGTGGTTAGTGAATCTGACTATGGATATATAGTCCATAGTCACAGATTCACTCTTGATCTGCCATTTCATTGTATCAGATGTCATGCAACAGCAGAATGGCCATATCATACAAGTATTGTGCACACACATATCGCCCAACCGCCGCAATTCCTATATGGCTTATTACTAAAAAGTTTTGTCCCCCGCAATAAGGTTTTTTGCAGTGCATACATCCATGAATTTTAGATTAAAATTCCTGTTATTTAATGACTTTCCTTTATACATATTGTTAAAAAATATGATTGCACATATAGCCTGCAAGCTATATCACATTGTGTAGAAATTTTTTTTTCTAATCTTTCTTAAAAATTTTTCAAACACTTGCCTAAATTGTAAAATCGATCAAATACCATCTGCTTAAATGAGCTTTTGTGAGGCCTTTGTCTTAGGCATTGCGATACCGTACAAACCTCTCTCCCACCAGCAACATCCAAAATACAAGCATAGTGTGTGTTTTTAACACTAGTACTACAAATTCTTGTAATGTAAAAACTGCTTTGCCATTTGCAGAAACTCGAAACCGACAGTTTTTCTGTGTGTAAATATTGGCCAAAAACAAATTTGGGCATTAAAAACTGACAATGACAATGTTCTGTAGGATACATTTCTTTAGGAACTGTTTAAAACAAATTATAAGTCTGGCCTGCTTGTGAATTTAAATATGATGCTATAGATTCGGGCAAACATTTTCGGTTTTCCAAGCAGAGAAATTTCGGCGACACATGTACCATATCAGGTACCGCATACAAATCATATTTTTCAGAGGAGAATCTGAGAACCAAGAAAGTTTTAAGTTTCGGCACGAGCCAAAACGCAAAGAGTTCCAGAGAATTAGTTGAAGTATATTGGAAATTGTAATAAAAAACTGGTTGTGTCAAATTCGAACGAGTTTGCCCTGCGATTTCTCGACCGCACGGGAAAAGATTAACCATCCTGAGCCCATAACTTGCCGAAATTGTTCATACAGTGGAAAATCTTCGCAAAATCTTTTTTGGTGGCAATGAAGTCAGTGCAAAACACAGAGGGGGCCGATCTAACGGCAATTTCTGATATTTTTCACTTCTATATTCGCCATTAGTTTGAAAATCGGTCCTACAAACAAAGTCACGGTGATTATAGCAGTATATTATAAGAAAATAAGCATTCGGAGAGGTATAACAACAAGCAGTTTGCATAACAAGTCATAGGGATCAGTCTTCTAAACTCGCTTGCTTACAACTGCGAAAGAACTTTCGAGAGAAACTGATTTTTTTGGCAAGTTTTCACTTTTGCAGCTTCAATCCATATATTTTTTGATCAGGCCTTGTACGAAGAAGGTATTAATTCTTTACTGGTTTAAGAACAAAGCGTGACGACCGTTTCCTTTTCCCTAAGAATCGGTCAAGTACTGTATTATTAACCAAAATTGAAAATTCCTAGTGGAAAATCTGGCTTACAAGAGAGAGACGTGGGTGAACGACAAGAGACACGCATGGCACGGATGGAAGTACGGGCACTCGTCTCTGGCCGTGGACGGAGACGCGGACGCCACCCTGCAGAAGTGTGCCATTTTGGACAACTACTACGTCGACCATCCCGCGTGGATGGTGGATCTAGGAGAGAAGAGGAGGATTCGCGGTCTGGTGGTCACGACCTGGCAGGGAAAAGGCCAAGGTGAGCGACGCTTCGTTTGTTCTACGCGTTCTGGTTTCCCGCCTAACGACGACTATTTGTTTGCAGATCGAGCCAATCTGTACGGAGACTACCTTCGTAATCTGGACAAATTAACGGCCTACGTGGAAAACAAAGCAAAATTGGAAAACGTGTCCAACGGAGGCAAGTGTTCCTCCGTTTCCCGTCTGAACAGCGCGCTGTTTCGTCGCAGGCTTCACTTCGAATGTTCCGACGACACCTGGGGGCGCTACGTCTACATAAAAGCCAGCGGAATAGCCAACGGGTGGTCCAGATTGTTTTTATTTGTTCTGTGCGAAGTCACCATCTACTGAAATGGGAAGAATCGCGGAACTCGCGCCAAAGCCAACGTTTTCGGTAGAAAAAGAATTCCGAGTCCGGTCGACTAAATTAAATTAGATTCCAAAGCATAAAATATTTTAACGTTAGTTAACCGGAGAAGAAATCGGCAAATTGTTGTTTCGTGTGAACATTAGGCTCTAAACGGGTTTCTGAGTACTAAAAATTTTTGAGGGGGTTTTTACTGGGCAAAAGAGCATACAGTACTTTGGCATGTTTTAAAGACGCGCGTGCCACGTGTCACATTCCACACGAGGGGACGTTCACGTTAACAAACTTTTTAAATTTCGTCTTTTAAACCGGTCGCCATTCCATTTATCGGTTAGCAACACGATCCATCCTCGTGGATGGCCCTCGCGCGAATACTTTTTTAAAACGTAATTGCGTTGGAACTTATCCGTGTGTATGGGAATTTTAATAAAATTGTCGTTCTAAAGCGATCTGAAAAGAAACGAATTTTATTAACACGATTAAAAAAAACATTGTACACGTTTTACAATTCTACACGGAATAAAAAAAATCGTACAATTAGAAAAGATGTTACATCGTATAAAATACAAAGGTTAAAACAAAGATGCAACCAAGAAGCATCCTGAGTTTCGGGGCAAAGGAAATTCAACGCTACGGGAGTGAGCTAATTAGAAAGAAACATAATTTGGACAAACGTTTTTTAAATGCGCGGGTTTCTTTTTGTCCGTGCAACAAGCTAAAAAATTTTGCTCAAATCTGTATATTAGGGAATCTCGGATTTTCGCACGCTTCTTGCTTGCTCCACACATTTCAGAGCAACGGTATACTTCCGAGAAACGTCACTCCCACGCGGGCCGTAAACTAACAAAAAACAAGATTCTACCACGCACGGTACACAATAGAATGCTTCAAAATCGGTAAGAGTAATTTAATAAATAAATACCTCTATAAGGCGGCTTATATATATACATTTTAAAATATGACTGGCCAATACGAGACTGTATTCTAGTAGTATTAAAGATAGCTTAATACGTATTATTTAAGAAAGCGGGTGTCGAAACTGCACCCTTACGTGCGGTCAAACTGGCTCTAACGAAAATTCGTTAAAATACAATACGCAATTGTAAACTTTACCTGTTTCAGTTCGAAACGCGTCACCTTACTAAAACCGCGTGTCTTGGAGTTTACAGTTACATTCTACGAAAGAAAAAACATTTTGGGACACTACGTTTAAAAATAGCAAAAATGCTTACGTAACCGACAAAAGTTTCCCGTGTTATGCCGAGCGGTTATCGTAATTACGCTCATCTTATATAAAATCAGGTGTAAACAATGAGCACGACTTGCGTATTCCCGTTGAAAATAGTTAATTCTTATTAGATTTTGATTCGTTAAACGGAACGACCGCCGACGTTCCTAATTTTATGCCGCATTGCATCTTGCGTAACGTAACTGGGCCTAATACTTTTTTTGCCACATTCGTTAACAAAATTATTCTGGCTCCAGTAGTAAAATCTTGTCACCCGATACGAAACGTACAAATTGTAATTCGTCATCGAATTGCGTTTTTTCTGGAAAATGAGATTCCGGAATCGGTTTCTTGCTCTAGATTCCGTACAAATTTCGAGTAACGTTTGCAGACAGTTTCGGACGCTTCGAGCACCCGCGTGCCTTAGTTGCGGAAGAAATGTGCTTATCAATTTTTAAAATTGACAGAGAAGTCGCGAAAAAGTAAAGCTAAAATTCGGAGAGAGACGAGAAGAATCTTCGCAAATTCTCTACATTTAATTGTAAACGCATGCCACAGAAGGGAATAAAACACGAAGTCAAAAGTGAAAAATCCAGAGACTTCGACCGAGAAGGGAATTTAAATAATCTCGAAAACGATTGTAGCGTTTAATCACCCTTCATATTGCGTGACGACGACTTACAAGTACGTTAGAAACGTGCGATGCGACAAATATTTATCGTACATAAACTTTATGTTCGAAATTGCAACGCACGTGGGCAAGAAAAAAAGGTACAGATGTTAATTCCGTTAATTCAAAAAAGATATATATAATTTAATTTTAAGAGAAATAATTAGCAAATTTTATGCCGCCATTTTGCGTGCCTTCGACAATGCCTCGATTTTAGACGCGTCGGCTAGAACTCGCCGCACGACCAAACGCCGAAACATTCAAATTTTCTTCGAAATTACTGCTATTGTACTGTACCTCGACATCAACTCGATTGTTGATAAATACGAGTGGGATCAAATTTACACAATACGGCAATCATCATTAATCTAATTCCCATGCGAAAAACCGAAAGAATACTAATCTGGAAACGACATTTTCCTAGTCGAAATATGAAAGTGTCTCTTCGAATGGAAATGGCGGGCGGAAAACGTGGCAATTTTACCGCTAGTGCCGGAACTCTGCGACTAAACCCAAACGCCGCGATAATTGCGACGGTACCGCGCGAGAAAAATCGTCGCCACGTTCCGAGTCTGCCGGGAAAATTTGGCGTCTTTTTTTAAGCTAGCGTTTAAAGAGGGCCGAAGCGCACGCTTACGTTCGTATATAATAAAAATAAGCAGGTCGATACAGTAAAATTTAAGAATTTATAAGAAAGAATTTACGACGTAGTAAAATAAAACGACGACGACTGCAATCACGATACGTGGGATTTACGGTAAAATAAATCGGTTTACTAAAAAAAATATATGTATAAAGAACACGCTCTGTAAAAATGCAAACACTTCATTTTTTCGAAGACTCGAATATTTCGGTGTAGAAAATTGTAAACGATTGTTTCTGCGGAGGAAAAAAAAATAATTAATATTTTATAAATTTTATCGGGCGCTTTCGCTAGAAAACCGGAAAAGTGCCACTAGAAGTCCGGAGGAGGAGCCGCAGTATAGTAATTTTGAAACGGACTGGCAACATTGTCAGTGCGAAGAACGGATAAAATGGCACCTCTTTCATCGACAGTGTTGCCAGTCGCAGTTAACGCTGCCCGACTCGGAAGTTTCCTGGGTCAAATTACTACTTTTAACGGCACTTTTTCTGTTTTCCGTCGAACGTGCCTTGTAGCTAAAAACAAAAATATTCTTTCGTACATTTATCCATTTCCCTCCCCGTAAAAAATCCAGTTTCACACCACAGACTAAGACGCAATTTTGCAGCGGCTTTTATAAACGAATACAAATTTGGAAACAATTTTTAGAGGGTAGTAAAAAAAATTTGAAGGCAAAATTATTTAGAGTTGTGAACTTTGTAATCTGGTCTTCTCTTACGAGAACGGAGGGTTATTCGAGTCGCGGTAAAAAGCTCAATACCTCGCAAGCTTTTATTGCAATTTTGGTCGCGCCACTAATCGAATTTACAATAAAAACTTGGATTTATGCGACGAATGCAGACACGCAGATTATTTTAATTTCGCCCGTCGATCGATTGAGGAAATAATATCCACTTTATGGACACCGAGGGCCCATCAGTGGCCAAACGGTTCTGTTCCCTGAACACTGGGAGTTCGCGCCTCGCGGGGAAGGGCTGGCCATATGGAGTTTTCCGGGTTTTCTCCATGTCTGTAAAGCGTGAATAGGGGCCTGTTACCCTTAAAAAGACCCCCTGGAAGGCATCCACCATAGGCAGATCGCATTGCCATAACTTAACAAAATGGGCACCGAGAGAGCAGCTTTTAGCAAGCCGATTGTGGATTCGGCCGGGTGACTGGGGCATACTAAAAGCAAATTTTTCAAACAATCGTACACAATCTTCATGCTTCAAAATGAATTTCATTGTGAAGATTTTATGCCATAAGTCTTATGGTCACCACTGATCAAACGCTCGAACGTGTTAAGTTGCTCAAATTTTTCTATTAATGAACAAATCGAAAGGAATAATTATATCAACATAAAATAATTTATGCTCGGCAAAATTTCAGGTATTTCTCTAACGTTTTCAACCTACTTAATATAGGACATCTTCAGGCTTACGATTAAACCGTTCGAAAGGAATATCCAGTTGCCATCTTCTGTTTCGGAGTCGTATAAGTAAAATATTCTCTTGTATAGATTTCTAAGCTAAATGGCATCGTCATCCCGTACAGATACGTCGACGACCACTTAGTAACATTGAACAAAACGTTAACAGAAGCACCCAAGATTTTGAAAACGGTAGATACCCTTCGCTCACACATTAAATTGAAAAATGAAATAACACTTTAAATTACCTCGCTATAACGATAGTTCTTACTGCTGCACAAAAAGAATTTGAAGTTATTTTAATATAAAAGAAAGACGTTTTTGAGTGGTTACACGTACCGTGTTTCCCCGAAAATAAGACAGTATGTACTGTACAGTATTTATTAGCGAGGTTGAGGCCGAAGTTTAAACGCGAAAACGTGTACGTCGGACGTTCAGCGCCGCTTTCCTGTAAGCCTAGAAGTTTGACAATGGTGTTTGGAATGTCGAGTATGATTCAACTAACACCACTGTCAAACTTCTAGGCTTACAGGAAAGCGGCGCTGAACGTCCGACGTACACGTTTTCGCGTTTTTAATTTAAAACTTCGGCCTCAACCTCGGTAATACATTGGCAGGAAAAACTTTTGGGTAATATTGAGAATAAAGACGTAGTATTTCCGTATATTAAAAATTACTTGAAGATATTCGAAACGAACTTAATACAATGCACTAACAAGTCCAGAAGTAGATTTTAAATGAAATTAGTTTAATCCAGAAGTTAGCATAATCTACAAATTTAGTTGCGACAGACAAACCTAACTGTCTTACAGTGACTGTCTAACTACGGCTGGACTAAAAAATAGACTGCCATATAGACGTTGTACAGATAATTCTTGCATACATCTAACAGAGTTCGTATGTGGATACATAAAAACTAAACTTATTGTCAGTTGGTTATGGGAATTAATGGATTTTGATGTCTTGTGGCAGTTTTCTGCAGGTTCTTGTAATGCTAAATGTTTAAATATGTATGATAATTACCAATATCAGTTTTTAAAAAATGTTCAAATCTTCATTTGGTAAATGTGAATGTGTTCAATTGATATTTATGTATCAACTAAAACTTATTGAGATGCGTCTTTACTTAATACTAGCTGTTACCCGTGGCTTCACCCGTGCGGAATTTGCAATTTGATAGAAATAACCTTCCCTACATACTTCACTAAGATTCTCAACATTAGTTGTTACTATAAAAACAAAAAGTCGCATCTAAAATAGTACAGTAGAAGACATTCTTCAGGTTAAGCCTTAATCCTCTCCCTCCGCGGGGGAATTTTGAAAAATCCCTTCTTAGAGTGCATTTTCATGAAGTACCTAACTGTGTACCAAATTTCACCTCTTTAGGTTCCGTGGTTTGCTCTGGGCAATGATGAATCAGTCAGGACGTGTAATTTTATATATCACAAGTTCAGACATGTGCACTGCATATCTCGCCGACCATGCAACTGCGCCACGTGGTTACCTATCTATTGTCTTGGCCCTCGCTACCCGCTGACACCAAAAATATAACGCTTACCTAGATGATATCTTTTAATTTATATGAATGTTAATGGCATAATATACAGGCTATGTGCACCCTGAAGGTCCATTCTAAATATTGGTGAAAGAATTTTCGAAATCGAATGAGTAGTTTTGGAGATTACCTCCTACATCCAAACTTTATACTTCTACACTAATATTATAAAGGGGTAGACTACCGACGAAGGCAAAGTGCCAAAATATATTATCAATCAAATAAAGAATTTCAGCAAAGTTGCGAATAATTTAAAAAGTGATAAAATTATAGGAGACAGACAACTGCATATTCCTTTAGATTTGTTAATTAATAACTCAAACTGTCCTTGTACATATGCTCACCATGCAAGAGGACAAAGTTTAATGCTATCGTACTGCGGATCAGTAAGAAAACTAACCCTAGTCAGTAGGGTCTGTCCTAATCATACTGTAATATTTGATTTATATAATAACACATGTATATTATTTATATATTGACATATTTCAAAATACATGTATGTATAAAACACCCAAATTATGTAAAAAAGGTGATTTGAAGACATTTTAGTCTAGAATAAAAAAAAATTTAAAATAAATACTTCAGAAACCATAAACTTAAAAAATTTGTGTCTTCACTAATGTCTGTTTTTATAGGATAATTTTATAAAAATAATAATTCTTGACACCCGATATGATACAAAATTGTGTCTCTATTAAATTAAATAACTAATTTGTGCTCAACTGTTCCTATCAATCCTTCATAACTGTTCATCAATCCTATGTGTGTTCATTTTTTAAACGCTTTGTCTAATGAAAATTTTAATTCTGTGTGTTATTGAAGACTCTGCCATACACACTTCCTCTAAATACTTTCTATTCAAAATGGATAAATATAAACATTAGTCTCTCTAGATGCTCAATTCAATTTACAAGTTTCTGGCAAGCAGAATATTTGCCACCACATCTAAGACTTGCCACTTTCGATGACTAATAATGTGACATTATGTATCCCATGTCAGAATAATACAGTAGAATCTATCCCGTGTTTGAAGTGTTACGATGTAATTAATTTGCCAATTTATCAGAGTTTATTAGGCTGTTTTGAATATCCCGTCCCAGTGGTCCCACCACCATCCCTTGCTTTACCTGCATGAGCGTACCAGCAAGTCTCACCGACTTCAGCGCAACACCACTATCTACTAGACCTTATGCACCATACCCATAAAGGTCATCTTAGTAGTTATGTGCTATGCACAATAGGTGTAACATGGTTATACCATCCCAGATACTAAGTACTTTGCATTCTATAGGCTCTTTTGAATAGTCAAAAATGCCAGCACTTTAAATAGAAAATGGGTCTTAGAAGCTTTGCCACCATAGCTTGCCGCCAACTGCCAAAAACTTACAAGTAGAATTGAGGCTTAAGAGGAATTTAAAATGCTACAATCTGAGATATGAAATAATGCTTTAAACTACGCATAGTTTAAGGATTATTCCCTATTTGCCAAAATTTATCATCATTTTTAATATAAAAATTAATATTTATTAAATACAACAATAATTTTTTAATGTATCAAAAATATTACCTTAATGCCTATAATATACAGCATCTACATCGACGTTTTTTACTTTTATGATTAGCTTTCAACTTTCGTTCTCTCTGTAAAATAAAACAAATGTTTATTTTTTAATTATAATTAAGACGACTGTAAAGCACTCCAATAGCTTACTTCTTTGCGTATTTCCCTTACTAGGGTGTAAAACGCATCGTCAACTCCCATTCTTGTTTTTGCAGAGGTCTCAATAAATGGTATGCCGTAATTCTTGGCCAGTTCCGCTGCCTGTCTGGTGTTGACAGTTCTTGCCGGCAGATCACATTTATTACCTACCACTATGTGAATGAATGAACACTGTTACACAATTCTTTTTATCTCTATGTACTTACTGTTTTACTTTTTTGTTCCTATATTGTCTACTTGGACCTTGTTGGTTTGCAATTTGAAAAAATTGTAGACCTATAAATTTCCATTGTCATCCACCCATCTTTCCTTACTCTTGAGAACAGAGTTAGATAGATGAAGACGAGATCAGATATGAAAACCTTAGGAGTAGGAGATCAGATTAACTATATATGAACTTCTGATGCAAACCGGAAGATATTTCAATTCAAAACTTTTCCCCCCAAAAACAGTTTAATATATGACCAGCATGACTATTGCTAACAGGAAAAGTATGATGTACAGTGGTAAGACCCTAATTTGAGGTGGTGAACATGTATTTTAAATTAAATAAATTAAAAATACCTCATATGATTAAAAATTGCAGTCAGCATTGTGAAGACGTCACAATAAATAATTGCTCATTTATTATTCGGACTTATTATACTGGTGTAGTTTCTCATTAGCAAACAGAGGAAATCTTAATCAAAAGTCAAAACAGTGTACAGGTGAAAGTAACAATATTTTGTTTTCACTTTTAACTGATTTCCTCTCTGCTAATCAGAAACTACTCCAGTATAATTTATAAGTCCTATTAATAAACAAGTCCAGTAGACAATATAGAAACCGTTATGCATACATTATATATACAGTACAGTAGAGCGTCGTTTATCCGAATCAATTGGGGACTGGGGTTGTTCGGATAACTTATTTTTCGGATAACCAATTATGTACGAAAAAATATATTAATTTATCCCGTGTTGAAATTTTTCTCCGTTGCGTGTCGCTTTGCGTTGAATTTTCGTCAATGTTAAGCCTAACGAAAACTATTGTATCGTTAAAAATTATTTTTTTATTTTGTACAAACAAAATAAATATATTGAAAAATATAAAAACAATAAAAAATTATACTTCAGAAGTTAATTTAGTATCAAAAACGTAAAATATTTGAGTAGCCGAAGACATAGCCAAAGATTACAGCGCCACAGCACTGGCAAAAATTTAAATTTGTCGACTGGAATTCCTTCGGATAACCGACGCTCTACTGTATTTATAAGAGGGAGGTTGCAGCTGAAGTTTTCATCTCTAAAAAGTGAACGTCCAATGTTGAGCACAGCCATCCTGTAAGCCTAGAAGTTTGATGATAGCGTTTGGAACAGCAAACTTCTAGGCTTACAGGATGGTGGCGCTCAACATTCGATGTTCATGTTTTAGAGATGAAACTTCAGCCACAACCTCTCTAATTTGATTTGTTTGTGTTCAGTTACTTTATATTCCCAATTAAAAAAATTTTTTTTGAAATTTCTTAATAATCTGGCATTTAAAAGAATTAAATTATGTTATAAACATTGATTCTTCTGAAACATATTAAATATAACTAATTTTGTATGTTTCAAAGGAAAACCATTAAAACACTGCAATCTTAACAAATCATATGAACTAATGACATGTTTATGAACTAAACACATTATAAATCAATATTTCAATAATTTACTCAAGTTTTTTTCCCCCATCAAATTAAAAATTTTTAGGAAGTTAATTTCTTAGATATATTGAGTTTAAATTTTGTATTTTTGCAAATCTTTCTAAATTACATATCAACATTTGACAAATGAATTGGATTTATTAATCACTCATACTGTATTTGCCCATACTTTCATTCCATCTGTACACAAATTCACATATCGAAGCCATCACTCATTGGTTACAGGACTACAAACTGCTAACATATTTCGTACCATAATAAATTAGTTCTTTATTTGGGATAATCACTTTCTCTCACAAATATAAGCAGTATTTAAATTTGATAGAAGAAACAAGCCCATAAATAGTTTCTGCTGAAGTAAGCAGAGGAATGAATCAAAATATCATTAATGCTGGCTGTAACATCAGTGACCAAAACTGGCATGTGGTTAGCCATCATGTCATTGCATTTTGTTTTCTACAAAATGCAAGAAATAGATTTTGTCATAGCCTAATGTTGTATACAGTTTAATTATAAATACCTCAATAGTTCCTTTGGAGTGGAGACCCATCAAAGTTCACTTCTAATTTAGAAGGATTTTAGCAATTTTTCCAAACACAGTACTTAAATATAATAATAATACATGTGAATTCAATACTTTGATATATATTAACACTGCATATTATGAAAAACATGTAGAATTATTTGATATAGTCTGTAGTAATTTGATGTGACAACGTCATGTTTTTTGCATACGGCAGACTACTGCAAACAGCACGGCCAATCATAAGAGGGGTTGGAAAGATATGAAATGATTTTATTTACACTATGCATGAACAGTTAAATAGACTATAGAATGAGAATTCTTTTAAAACAATATTTACATTGTTTTTCTTAAAAAATATCATAATTTGAATTTACAGGAACTTTAACAAATTGCAAAAAATCCAACAATTTCATTGTACAAAGTATAATTCAATTTTCTACCTTTGTATTTGGAGAATAATTTTGAACAGTTTTGCATTTATTACAAGTTTAACAATACAGTAAAGCATCGATTACCCAAATGTTGATCAATCAAAACATCAATTAACCGAAAGCTTTTCAGTTGGCAAATTTAAATTTTTGCTAGTGCTGTGGTGCTGCAATCTTTGGCTACTCCAATATTATTTTTGTTGGTGTGCGTGTTTTAGCACTGGCGCAATCATGAGAGGGTACTTAAGGATGTGCCAGGATTTGAACAAATTTCAACACAGGATAGATTAACATATTTTTTCATACATAATCGGTTATCCGAAAAATTGATTTTCCGAACAACCCCAATCGATTCAGGTAATCGATGCTCTAGTGTATATAAATTTAATTTTAATGACTTTTCTTAATGTTAAATTTGTAGACAAGCTAACAACAAGCCAATGAAATATATATGAATTTATAAAGAATTTTTACTTACAAACCATTGCAATGTCGTCAGCATCTTTAACTCTCTTAATCTGAAAACAAAAAGTATCTTCATTTAGAAAATTATTCCAAATACAGGTAACCCCCATATAACACGGTAGTTATGTTCCAAAAAATTGCCGTGTTATACAAAACAAAGAACTAATAAGAAAAGGAGGGTTAGGTTCCAAAAATTAAAAAACATGCTAGTATATTTTCATAATTAAGATAAATATCTTCATTAAAATTTTTTAAGTGATACATATTAATATAAATTAAACAATGTTTTCTTTGTCATCACTAAAAACACTATTAATTAATCGAGAGCCTTTTCTTTTTGGGAAGTTATCCTTATCCTCTGAGCATTTTTCTGCATTATCTTCAGATCCATGCTTTACCTTTTGCAAAAAGTATGTAATTTTAGATTGCTTGCTTCTAGTTAAAAGGTCTTTATAAATTTCCTTATATGGTGCTAAGCACTTATGAAGAATAAAGCAAGTATGGAATAAGGGGAAAACATTCAGCAACATCAGAAGCAGAAGCGTCGCGATCTGGCAACATTGAAACAAGTTTCGAGAAGGACCATGTGTATCGACAGAAGGTGAGAAGAGAAAATTTACATACTTAAGTACTAATAGTTTATGAAAATAATAATTTTTGTGAACTATTATTACTTAAGTATGTAAAAATTTATTACATTTCATGTTGTACGAGGGTTTTACCCAATTCTCGAACCGTGTCAGAGTAAATCCGTGCTATAAAAGTACAGTGTTATACGGGGATGGTACCAATTCTCGAACCGTGTTAGAGCGAATCTGTGCTATAGAAGTGCCGTGTTATACGGGGATTACCTGTATCTTCATTTTGGAATTTAATTATTTTTAGTGTGTGTGTGTGTGTGTGTGTTAACTCTCTTTTATTGTTTATTTTTTAATCTTTACATATATGTACTCACTAGATATGGCAAGTAGTCACCTTAAAATTATTGACACACACTGACTGCTGAGTTATTTATAGTTCAAATGATAAACCAAAATTTGAGATTGATTGAAAACTATTTTGGAATGTGCTCTCAATCTATTATTTATCCAATTTTGATAGGAGACAAATTTGATGATTATCATTAATCAAAGTTTTTAAATAATTATTTTCTTTATTTTTGATATAGGAGAAAAGGTATAATTATTTAATTTTTTTGTATGAAAATGATTTATTACTTTTTGTAGATTTTTTTTTGTAAATGTTTATTGAAATTTGTTATTGTGCACAAATTATATGATTTGGCAACTAAAAATTAAAGTAATATAATTTTTTTCATTTGTAAAGATTGATTTAATAAAATAAATTAAATTGATTTTAATAAGTTTACCTAAGTTGTGAGAAATTAATATTTTAAATGTACTCCACGTATTGTACAGAGTGTTGCAAAAAAGTATTCTTCCTGGAAATAGGTGATAGAAATTATAGAGTAACATAATTGCAAATTTGCAATAGTTACCAAAATATTCAAGCCTGAAGTTTTGCCAAATGAGGCTACTATAGGATGGACTGCCATTATACAGATCTACCAATTATTGACCTACAACTGAAAATTGGAGCCAGTGAGTGGTGTTGGTGTAAAATGGTCACATATGATCTTGGCAGTATTGATTGTAATTTATTGAATAAAATTCAACAATTTTAAACTGTATGTAGTAATTAGTAAAAACGTTTTTCAAAGTAATTAATTTTCAACTTCTGCAAAGATTCTCTGGAAAGACAGATTGAAAAGCAATCACAAAAAGCTTGTCATTGAGGTTATTTCCCCCTCTAAACTGGCAACACTGGGATTTTAAAGTAAGTCATTTTTGTTGTAACTTTAACCTGAAATATTTGATAACTATTGCAAATTTGCAAATATATTATTCTACACTTTTTGCTTAACCCAATGAGTTCTATCATCCACTTCCAAGAACAACACTTTTTCAACATCCTGTATTTGACATTTCCTTCATGTTGAATAATTTTCTACTTGTCAAAGTTAATATCATTTCACATCAATCATAAATTTAGATACATTTAGAATCCAATTATAATTTCTTTTCAATTACATTTACCTTGTAATAACTGAAAAGAAATTATACAGTCAAACCTGTCTATAACAGAACCTGCATATAGCAAAAACCTGTCATTAACAGAAAATTTCTTAAGTCCCTTGAAATTTTTTCAAAAAGTAATGTAAATTAACATGTATATAGCAGAACCTGTCCAACACAAATGAAAAGGAAAATTGGTATCTTTATCCAATTTAACACAAACCTAACAAGAAGTTTACAAGCCTAGCAACCATAAAAATGTCAAAAAATACACACTCAATACAGAATAGCAAAATACAACTGCATTACAGTAATTTTGTCAGGGTTTGAACAGAAAACTGTGTATTTTTATTAACAGAGGTTTTTACTTAACATAAATGTGTGATTTAATTATAAATTGTGAAATTTAACATATTATTCTGGATGTGAGATTGTATTCTTTGTTTTGAAGCTTATTTTAAACTTTTCTTAAAGGATATCACACTATACAAACAGTAAAAAATACTCTTACTTTGTATGGAGAAGATGTTTCTAAACTCAATGTGTCAGCTGTGGTTTTGAAAGTTTTGTTCAGGAAATTTTGAACTACAGTAGAGCATCGATTATCCAACCCCTGATCAACTGTCACATCGGTTAACCGACCGTTCTAGCCCGCAAATTCAAATGTCCACTAATGATGTGGCACTACAATATTTGGTTATGTCTTGGCTACTTTAATATTATTTTTACGTGTTTTAGCTGGCAACACTGACTCGACCATGAAAGGGGGCCAGTATTTAAATGAGGCTTAACTTTCTAATTTTTAATGATACAATAGCGACGATTATTATTTAAATAATTTTTTGTTAAACATCGATAAAAATTCAACGCAAAGTAGGTTAATAGCGATATACTAATATACTAATTACATGGGATATACTAATATACTATACTAATAATATATTTTTTCATTTTTTTCAGTTATCCGACCAACCCCAGTCCCCAATTGAGTTGGATAATCAATGCTCTACTGTAAAAGATATAAAACGTATGGGCCCCCAAAAGCTGTCAAAAAGAAATTGTTAAAGATTAGCAAATAACCTGTGAATTTATAACAAATCTTAGTGTGTCACAGATATGTATTGTTGAAACATTATATCCACTTGAAATAGTTGCAAAACATGCTGATGGTCATGTTGCGCACAGAGTTTGTTATTTTATCATAAATGAAAAAAAAAAACAAACTGAAATTGAATATAATTTTGTCTGAAAAAGGTAAGCAGCTCTAAGGTTTTATTTTATTTTTATATTGGTTACTCATTTTTATTTTAGAAAACTTTTTTATGGATGAATAAAAAAATTAAAGTTAAAATAAAAATATTTGTTATTAACTGAAAATTTGTTCTAGTGGATGGTGATTGTTTGATCGAGTACTGAGGTACCACTATATTTAATTAATGCGATTTTGATATATGCTGTAACATCAGCAAATTCATTAATCACATTAATTGAAGGATACCTTTAGTAAGTAACTTGTATATAGCAGAAACCTTTCTACTATGGAAGAGTTGGTTGGTCCTTGGGGTTCTGTTATAGACAGGTTTGACTGTGATTGGAATTCTTTATATCTATAGCTAAAAAGTTACAGTGGAACCCTGTTTATCCAATAATAAAACAATCTCCATATCAAAGATAGACATATGGAAAACCTATAAATGCAAAAAAAATCAATATCCTAATTACATTCTTGCCTGAGTTTGTTTCCTATGAATCAGCACATGATGTTCATTGATATGCATTCTGAGGGAGTGTTCTTTGAATTTACTTAAATCATTGATATGCATTCTGAGGGAGTGTTCTTTGAATTTACTTAAAAGGTTCAACAGAATATTAAGATTTTCAATTTTAAAAATTGCTACTTTCCTGTTGAATACAAATGCTGTGCTTCTCATGGCAGTCAACATGTTAATAGAGAGGTTGAGGCACAAGTTCAAATGTTAAATGTGTACGGGTAGCAGAAGTACACGTTACACGTTTCAAGTCCAAGTAAAAATCGTTGAGGCACATGTTCATAACATCATGTGACTCAGTGAACATCGCGCATTGACTCACGGGAAATAAGTTGAAAAAATGGCGAAAGCAAAATAAATCATAATTTTAACCCCAAACACAAAAAATGAAGACATTTAAGCCGATCGTGTATTCACCAAGCTACACGTAACAAACGCCATTATCGACAGTCCAGAACTGCCAGATGGCGGCACTCACCCATTACCCGTACACGTTTTGGGCTAAATACGTGCGCCTCAACCTCTCTAATAAGTTTATTGTTTGTAACCTCTCTAGTTATTCACTGAACACACTAAAGCCGCTATTGTTTCACTGCATTTCATTCATCTTCAAACATTTGTGAAATAAACACTGCGAAATGATGTCTAAAGAAAAGAAAGTGGTTGTTATGTTGGGAAAGGACTATAGAAACTGTATTATTTATGTTGTTAACGATTTTTCTGGATTATCCGGATTTTAGTCATCTGAATCAGACCCAGTCCCATTTGACTCCGATAATTTGGGTCCACTGTACATTTTAAAATTTTAATAATCTAAACAAAGTTCTCATCTTTAATCTCTTAACTAATATGCTACAATAAATGAAAAAAATGTTGTTAAGATACAAAGACTATCTATAAATCTACAAAGTAACTTCTATTTTCAAGTAGCAATTTGAGTAGAAGACATAATGGTATCACTTTTGCATGGAATTTAGAATAATTCTGTAGGCATCTAACACCGGTAGAATGAAATTCATATCATTGTTACTTGCTCAACAATGGCCATTCAAAATGTGTGCTGCAATTGACAATCCTGCCAATTGTGATGTAAGTTATAAAATTTCTCTTAGCCCAAAGCTGCAGAGCATCCATCATCAACTTTGCAAAGTTTATGGAGATGAGTGAGAATGGCGTGAGATAATGATGCCATATGTTAAAATGAAATCAGACCAATGTCCACAATGAAGAGAAAAAGAGTTCAGTGATTGTGATAACAGATGAACTGGTTGAGAAGATTGATGAAAAGATTCAAGAGAACACACTGATTCATAATTTCAGAGATTTCTGGTGTGTTTCCATGAATCTTACAGTTCTTCATGAAGCAATCACTGAAACATTAAGCTACCAGAACTTTGGTACCAGGTGGGTGTTTAAACTGCTTTTAGAAGAGCACAAGTAACAATGTTTAGAGTCAGCATTGACTTTCCTTGAATGTTATGGTGATGCTTTTCTGGATCAATCATTAAGGGTGATGAGATTTGTGTCTTGAACATAAATGCAGAAAAGAAGGAAAAAAAAAAAAACAATGGTGATACTCACTCACCAAAAACTAAAGAAGCATTGGCAAATTTTGTCTGCCAGGAAAGTTGTGGTACATCTTTTGGGACAAGAGGAGTGCTGTTATTGGAATTTATGAAACAAGACAACAATTCAGAAGTTTATTTGACACATTAAAGAAGTTGAGGAAGACCATTCAGAACAAATGTCGTGGCATTTGAGCCCTGGGATGGTTTATCTACATAACAATAACTTCTGGCATACTGCCCTGCTTGTCCAAATTCTGCTACAATAATTCAATTGGGAATTGCTTAATCTCTCTCAACACAGCCTAGCATTTACAAACTTTTCACACAATGAAAAAATAGTTTGCATTGCAACGCTTTGACAATGACAAGAGTTGCAATGCAGTGTTAGGATATGGCTTCAATTAAAGGTAAGAGAATCACATAAAGATGAAACAAAAAACTTGTTAATTTCTATGACAAGTTCCTCAATTTAGCTGAAGATTATGTTGTAAAACAATCAAAAGGTTATAGTTTTCAACTGTATAATCAATTTTATTTTTAACTGTATTGATGTTATTTCAATAAACAAATGGAAGTTACTTTTCAGATAGCCTTTGTATAATGATTGAATTTCTATAAAACGTTTCTTTTCATGTAAAAATTTTTCAAAATATAATAAGGACAACATACATTTATTTGAAAAATAAATTTTATTGGATTGTTCGGAAAGTAATTTTGTTTTTTTTTACCACTAGACGGATTAGTTGTATTTTCCCCACCATTTTCGTTCTAAACTGTATTATCATTATATATTTTGACAGCTAGCATTTTAAACCTTATTTGTAAAAAATTTTGTTTGATTTTGTGCAATTGTTTATTTTTTGTGTCCCATCAAATATGGAAGATCGAAAGCAGAATTTTCAGCATATTTTGCTTTTTTATTACCTAAAAGGTTAGAATACTGTTCAAGTATGGAGTATGGAGCGTGTATGGAGATGTATTGACAGAACTGGTTTACAAAATTTTATTCTGGCAATTTCAATATTGAAGATGAACCACGTTCTGAATGGCCAGTTGAAGCCAATGAAAACAAAATAAAGGTACTGATTGAAGCAAACTGCCGAATAACGATACCTGAAATCACTAAGAGATTAAATTTGTCAAATTGAACTGTTTATGATTAGTTGAAACAAATTGGTTTCGTTTCAAAGCTTGATATATGGGTTCCACATGTTCTTAAAGAGAGATGCTCTCTTTGGTGGGATTTTAAGGAAATTATTTTTGGAGCTTTTTCCAGACAATTTAACAATTGATTCGGAAGTGTACTGCCATCGAGTAAACAAATTGAGTAATATCATCAAACAGAAAAAGTGGCCAGAATTGATCAACAAAACAGGTGTAGTGTTTTACCACGATAATGTCAAATTTCACACAAGTTTGGTAACTCATCAGAAACTGTTATAACTTACATGGGACCTGCTATCACACCAACCATATTTGCCAGATTGAGAACACTCAGATTAATACTTGTTCCGATCTATACACATTTTTTTTAACTGTAAGACATTTACTTGAAATGACAATGTCAAAAATCACTTGGATCAGTTTTTTGTAAGTAATGATCAAAACTTTTATGAATGTGAAATCATGCTACTACCAGAAATGATGACAACATGTACTTGACCAAAATGGTCGATATATAATTCAACAAATTATTTATTTATTATGAAAGTATTGTGTTTTTTTCCATGGAATGAAGACTAAATTACTTTCCGAAAAACCCAAAATAATTTAAATACTTGTTTGTGTGTCATTAAATATATAACGAAGATTCATGTAATAAAATCAGTTATTTAGAACTGTAAAAAACTGCATAAGTATTAGTAAAAATAATATATAAATTCACCTGTTCTCTATATAAACTGATATCTTCAAAAGACTTGGTGTTATTCACTGCAAATACTAAAAGAAAGCCTTCTCCAGTTCTCATATACTGATCTCTCATTGCACTAAGTTAATTATAATTATTTTAATATTCAATCTTTCAACTGCAATTAATTATAAATTCTTACCTATATTCCTCTTGTCCAGCAGTATCCAATATATCAAGTAAACAAGTCTCTCCATCTATAACAACTTGTTTTCTATAGGAATCCTCTATATAAAATAACAAATTCAGATATGAAATAAAATTTACATTTATTCATATGTTTAACTTAATTTACAAAACTTTACATAAAATTTATTCTGCAAAATGTATTTTCACATCTCAATACTAACAGTAATAATAACAACTTTCCCATGGTCACACCTGGTTGTGGTGGGAGACCATGTATTTTTACTGATTCGTAGGACAATGCAGGCTGGAGCACAAGCTCCTGGTAGGGACACTCATGCCAGTAAGGTGTATGGGGAGAAAAGAAGCTAAGTAACCACAACCACATTCTGTAGAGATATTTATCATGGTAGTAACCAGATCAAAGAGTAAAACTGGCTCAGACGTCACCTGGATTAACAAGTTCTGTGTTCATGGGTTAGGCAGAGGCTCACGTTAAAAAAATAGGCCACAGCCTCCCTTGGTTACCGGTGGTAAAAGCAGCACCGGCCTAAGCATGACTACTGCAATGCCCTCAATAGATGTGAGGAATCAACCTAGCCTTGGTGTTTCTGTGGCAATACATCTACAGACCCAAAGGCTGGAAAATCATGCCAACGGATGAAATGGACAATAGAAATGAACAAGTTTATCATCCATACTTACTACACCATCACAAAACTCTAAAACAGTGTACAGATAAAAACTACACCACAGATTCACACATACATACAAAAAAGACATCAGCTGTACACAAGGTGTTTAGCCAGCAGAAAAGAGGGTAAGGGAAAGGGGGAAAGGAGGAGGAAGAGGAGATAGACAGTAGAGAAAGGTAGGATCCCAATGAACAGCATACATATGGCTACAGTACCATCTATTGGGTTGTTTGGAAAGTAATTTCATTTTTTTTACCACTAGACGGATTAGTCGTATTTTCCCCACCATTTTCATTCTAAACTGTATTATCATTATATATTTTGACAGCTAGCATTTTAAACCTTATTTGTAAAAAATTTTGGTTGATTTTGTGTAATTGTTTATTTTTTGTGTCCCATCAAATATGGAAGATCAAAAGCAGCATTTCGGCATATTTTGCTCTTTTATTGCTGAAAAGGTAAAAATGCTGTTCAAGCGAGAAAAAATTGTGATGTGTATGGAGATGTATTGACAGAACGACAGTGCCAAAACTGGTTTACAAAATTTTGTTCTGGCAATTTCAATATTGCCAGAACAAAATTGAAGATGAACCACGTTCTGAATGGCCAGTTGAAGCCAATGAAAACAAAATAAAGGTACTGATTGAAGCAAACTGCCGAATAACGATACATGAAATCACTAAGAGATTAAATTTGTCAAATTGAACTGCTTATGATTAGTTGAAACAAATTGGTTTCGTTTCAAAGCTTGATATATCGGTTCCACATGTTCTTAAAGAGAGATGCTCTCTTTAGTGGGATTTTAAGGAAATTATTTTTGGAGCTTTTTCCAGACAATTTAACAATTGATTCGGAAGTGTACTGCCATCGAGTGAACAAACTGAGTAATATCATCAAACAGAAAAGGCAGCCTGAATTGATCAACAAAACAGGTGTAGTGTTTTACCACAATAATGTCAAATTTAACACAAGTTTGGTAATTTGTCATAAACTGTTATAACTCGGATGTGCTATCACACCAACCATATTTGCCAGATTGAGAAAACTCAGATTATTACTTGTTTCAATCTATACACATTTTTTTTTTAACTGTAAGACATTTACTTGAAATGACAATGTCAAAAATCACTTGGATCAGTTTTTTGTAAGCAACAATCAAAACGTTTATGAATGTGAAATCATGCTACTACCAAAAACGATGACAACAGGTATTTGACGAAAATGTTTGATATATAAATCAAAAAAATATTTATTTATTATAAAAATATTGTGTTTTTTTAACGAAAAAAAAAAACAAAATTAATTTCCAAACAACCCAATATGTTTGATGTTAATGTGCAGTTTTTAGGCTGTAAGGCTGTAGTCCCACAAAGGGTCTGAAAGAAAACCTGAGTGTAGTGAACACCAATGCAACTGTTTAATGTGAATTAAGCTCATATAAATAGCTAAAGTTTACATCTGTGCTAATGAGCAGTATGAACCTAGACAAAAGCATGTGTTGTGAAGCTCGCGGCCTATGTTGGAGTAAATTACAAAAGTGGCATCCACATCGTCACCCATCTTGGAACTGTCAGTGTCCTAAACATGGAATGATCATCTGGATCTTCAAAATAAACGTCAGGGGCAAGCTGATGGGAGGGGTGGTAACTAAGTCAGGAGGGTATTTTTATCAATGTTGAATTTTTTGATATCATTGATCAAGGTCAAACAGCGTGGGGAAATCTTACCTACTCTAATCATTTTGTCGACATCTGAGTCGCTATAATCTCGTCAGGGTAAAGTGACAAGATTTTCCTGCCAAATAATGCATTTAATTTCTAAGCTGATAGGGGGTCAATCCTGACATTACCAAAAGGGCACTAGTGGGTGCAGTCCTTTAAGCCTTACAAATGCAGAGAGCTGCAAACCTTTGAACAGATAACAGTTTTTTACAATTATGGACTTTGGCAGCCACGTGGCCCCAGACCTGAACGGCATAAAGGAGTGCTGGCTGAATTGCACCCCTGTAAATAAGCTTAGTAGCATTAGGGCCAAGGTTCCATGTGTTCCTAACATTACTAATGAGGGCTTGGCCGTGTTTTTAGCTTTGTCCGTGATGTATTTTATGTGGGGTGTAAAATTAAGTCGCTCATCAAGAATAATGCCTAAATATTTCATTTCCATTGTTTGATTTATTCTGTGAGCACCTATTTGAAGGGTAAGCTTCCTGACAAGTGGCGCATTCCTACCAACTATCATGGTTTCGCATTTGTCTGTGTTAATGGGTTGCCTATGCTTAATACTCCTTTGGTGAATGTTATTGAGAAAGTCATTGCATATGCCCTGTAAGTTCTCACTGTTCCTGTGTGAAGCTAGGATAATTGTGTCGTCCGCATAGCCCTGTATGCAGCAGCCAGGAGGTAGGGTGTCATTTAAGTCCAGAATAGAGTTATAGGCAATGTTCCAGAGACCAGGGCCAGACCTGGATCCCTGAGGACAGCCTCGAGATATGACTATGCTATTTCATGTTATATAAACACCTGCATTCCTGTTGCTAAGATAGGATTAAAATAGTTTGTAAAGATTTTGAGGGCAGTGATGAGCATGTAATGTGCGCAGCATAGATTCACACAACAATATCCTCACCTCATTGTCACTGAACAAAGGGTTGTTGATCAAAAAAGAACAATTATACACAACTACCTTATTCCACAAACAACACTTGAACTTATCAAACAACAGGTTGCTGATCAAATATATCAACTGACAAACATTTAACATTAATGAAGATCATGTTAACCTGTCAGCATAATCCAGCAACAACCATTGATAATAGCACACATACAACAACTACAACTAATGATACTACAGGCACTTCCTCATCCATCACTGATAATGTAGACATAGAATTAGTTAATACGCTCTTACTTATATTTCAGGAAACACTCACTAAATATACAGGCACAAATCCCACACAAAGACCACGAATATCAAAAATCAACACGTCAAAGGTAGTAGGAAAAACACTAATTTATGTAAACACTCACTTACTACCAAACTACATTTATTCAATTTCTACACTCTCAGACATTCATACATTAGTTTATGATGGGGCAGTCACAGTAATAACACATCATGGACTGAAAATACAATCGCAGACAAACACACACAAAACACAATTCTATCACAAGCCTGCCTGGCAGAGAAGAATAGAAACATAAATAAATGACATTAGACAGCAATTAGGCAGGCTGACACAATACACTAAAAACAACATAACACCCAAATTAAAGAAACAACTCAAAAACATTTTCAAGAAAATCAAAACACACACAAAACATGAACATCACAACACACACATTACAGAATACATCGATACACTAAAACAAAAACTCGCAGCCAAAGCACGTAGACTCAAACGATACAAAACATGTACACTACGAAAACAACAAAATAAATTATTCACAAACAATGAAAAACTTTTCTACAGACAAATCAGTACCAAAACAAACACTGATACACAGCACAGTGGCACACCAACAGAAGAAGAACTCACAACTTATTGGTCTTCTCTTTGGTCCAATGCTGTTACACACAATGCTGATGCAGGCTGGATCGAGGAGGAGAACAGAAACTTGCACAACATACCAACTATGCCCTGTGCTGAAATAAACGTACACGACATTCGCTACGCTGTTAACAGAACACACAACTGGAAGACACCTGGTGTAGACAACATTCACAATTTCTGGTACAAAAAGTTTACATCACTGCACCAGGAACTAGCTAAACATCTAACACACATCATCATCAATCCACAAGACATGCCAAAATTTCTTACTCAGGGCATCACCTACATGAAACCTAAAAACAACAAAACCACAGACCCCACACAATACAGACCAATTACATGTCTTCCAACACTCTACAAATTATTGACATCCTGTATCACAAACAAAATATACAAACATGTTGAAGAACACGACATTCTTACAGAACAACAAAAAGGTTGCCGTAGAAATCACAGGGGATGCAAAGAACAGTTACTCATAGATTCATAGACTCATAGAACAGTTACTCATAGATAGATTCAGTCATTCTACGACAAGCACACAAACAACACAGAAACATACACATGGCATATATAGACTACAGAAAAGCATTCGACAGTGTTCCACACAGTTGGCTGCTACATATTCTACACATGTACAAAATACATCCATCGTTCATTGCATTCTTCGAAAACACTATGCAGCACTGGAGAACAACACTGCATCTCAGGGTTAGTAACACTTCCATACAAACAAACCAAATATTCATTAGGCAAAGAATTTTTCAAGGAAATTCTTTGACTCCTCTCTGGTTCTGCTTAGTCCTAAACCCATTATCCAACATTTTAAACAACATGCAATATGGCTACAATATCAGACATGAAAAAACAACACAGTTTATGTTGTTGCATCTCATGTACAAGGACGACATAAAACTATGCATCCACACAAAAACAAGTTCATCAACTCCTACAAGTCACACATTCCTACACCAAGGACATGCAAATGGAGTTTTGCCTAGACAAATGCAAAATACTTCTTTCTTCAGGACTCCTGTTTCTATGTGAAGATTTTGCACTTGGAAATGAAGACATTATTGAATCCATGGAAGAGGGTGAATTTTACAAATATCTAGGATTCCAACAGGCCAAACTAACAGAACATACACAAATAAAGCAAAGATTAATTAAAGAATATCACAGTAGGTTAAACACTATTCTCAGAACACAGTTAAATGCAAAACACAGTTAAAGCAATAAACACACGTTGTCCCAGTACTCACTCATTCTTTTGGAGTTATACATTAGACTCATACAAATCTTCAGCAACTCCAAAGGAAAACAAGAACAACACTTACTAAGCATAAATAAGATCATCCTAAATCCGCCATAGAAAGATTAACCCTTTCATGTAAAGATGGAGGATGCGGCCTGATCAACATAGTTAACCTTTACTACGAACAAATACAGACACTGCAAGAGTTTTTCTACAAAAACAAGAAACATCACAGTTACATAAAGCAGTAACTGTAGCAGACTCAAATAATGCACCATTAAATTTACATTCACAACATATGGACACAACACAATATACAAAAAAGCATAGACACCATTAAGCAATCGTGGGTTCAAAAGGCACTCCATGGCAGGCATCCCTATGACCTGGCCAGGATTTTGTTGACAAAACTGCATCAAATAGCCAGTTAGCTCAGAGATGCCTCTTTGGGGAGACAGAAGGATTTATGATTGCCATACAAGATCAGGTCATAAATACTAAAAACTACAGAAAACACACACTCAAAAATACAATACAGTAGAGTGTCGTTTATCCGAATCAATTGGGGACTGAGGTCGTTCAGTTAACTTATTTTTCGGATAACCGATTATGTACGAAAAAATATATTAACCTATCCCATGTTGAAATTTTTCTCTGTCGCGTGTCGCTTCGCGTTGAATTTTCGTCGATGTTAAGCCTAATGTAAACTTTTTAAAATAATAATCGTGGCTATTGTATCGTTAAAAATTATTTCTTTATTTTTTACAAACAAAATATAAAAACCAAAAAAAAATATACTTTAGAAGTTGATCTAGTATCAAAAACGTTCGATTCAGCACCATACAGAGTCATCAGAAAAACACCACACAAAAGTGCCAGTGCTGCCAGCTAAAACACACCAACAAAAAAAAATATTGGAGTAGCTCAAGATATAGCCAAAGATTGCAGCACCACAGCACTAGCGAAAGTTAAAATTTGCTGACTGGAATCCTTTCGGATAAACGATGCTATACTGTACTCACAAATGACACATGCAGAAAATATCACGTCATGCCAGAAACTATACAACACATCACTTCTGGTTGCAATCTCCTGGCACAGACAGATTATTTACATAGACATAATCAAATAGCAAAGACCAAGAGCTTGCAAACAAACACAAATTATTAGACATCCATGAACCATACTACAAATAAATTCCACAGACAGTACAGTAATACCTCGACTTACACGATTTTCAAATCTCATCGATTCCTCATTTGTTTGAGCGCCACGCAACTCTTGATTACTCACTCCCCCCACACTATTGTTCGGCTTACATGTTTGGACGTGTCACGCGGAATCGACACATAGCTACAATTTATTTTGTATTATTTATTTCTGTGTTTGTTATATCTACGGAGACTGGAGATTCTACTATGTCATCTAAACAAAGTAGAACTGGATTTTGATTCTTCTGCATCAAACAAGAAAAGAAAAACTTTATCTTTGGAATGTAAAGTTAACATTATTAAAGACTTCAATACAAAAACGAAAATTTGTGAATTGGCAAAGAAGTTTGATCTACCGGAATCGACAGTCAGAACAATTATAAAAGATAAAGAAAAAATTCTCTAAGCTGTAAAAAATGCTCAATCTTTAAATTCAAGCATCATTCATAAACATTATGGTATTATCCCTGAGATGGAAACAATGTTAAAATTATGGTGTGATAATCAAATAAATGTGAGAAATAATAATAATATAATTTATTATACATATGCATTATCTAAGATTTTATTAAACATTTTTTTTCTAAATTATTGTTTTCTTTAATCTCCGGCTCCAATTAAAAATTATTTGTATAATTTTTTATTGGATATTGTAAGTTGTTGAATAATTTCGCATATAAATACATTTGTATGTATTTATATGTGAAATTATACCCCGACTTACGCAAATTTGACTTATGCGATTATCGCTCAGTCCCACCTATCACGTACAAGGTCTGTTCAAAAAGTATCGGACCTTTGGTCGGCAAAAATAAATTTATTGAATTTGAGGTACAAAACCCTAATCCCCTTCAAAGTAGTCTCCTTGGTAATATATACACTTCTCCCAGCATTCCTGCCATTGCTGAAAGCACTGCTGGAACGCATTTTCTGGAATGGCCATCAGCCGGTCCATCGCATTTCGCACGATGTCTTCTCTCGACTAAATTCGTGTTCCATTTAGCAGCATTTTCAGCTTGGGAAATAGCCAAAAGTCACACGGAGCCATGTGGGGAGATTACGGAGCGTGACGAACCACAGGAGTGTTGTGTTTGGCGACGAAAGCCTGAATCAGATGCGCAGAATGGGCGGATGCGTTATCACGATGGAGCTGCCAAGTTTTGATCGACCACAGATCCGGTCGTTTGCGTCGCACTGTATCGGAAAGACGACGAAGGACCTCCTGGTAGTACTCCTTTGCGATGGTTTGGCCTTGTGGTGCGTACTCACGACACACCACCCCACGAGAGTCGAAAAAACTGTCAACATGACCTTTGATATTGCTGCAGACCTGCCGCGCTTTTTTTTGGCCTCGAGGATCGTCCCCGAAAGCCTGCTGAATCTTGCGAATGATTTACACTCGGGTATCGCCAAGGTTTTTGGCAAAATTTGATGTAATACCGCTGCTCGCGTTGTTCAGTCATTTTTCAGCTTAGTGGAATCCGACGAGAGCGCTCTACATGACCTCACTCATAGGCCGATTGCCAACGACTGACGCTTCCTGCAGGCGGGAAAAAATTCAGAGATGTGCATGACTGTCTCCTCCACAACTCCACCAAAGGCGGCCTCTCGCGCATCATTGGTTTACGCGGAAAAATATAAGGTCCGATACTTTTTGAACAGACCTTGTAAGTTTGGGGTATTACTGTATTGGAAAACAACACGCACAAAATGCACTATGACAGAGAGATAATCACAGATAAAACAATTTACCATAACAGACCAGACATCACACTCATCGACAAACACAATAAAATCACATAAGTTATAAACATATCCATTCCAAACACTCACAATATACAAAACAAATGCACTGAGAAAATCAACAAGTACACAGACCTCGCTCAGGAAATAAGGCATCTATGCAGGATGGATAAGGTGCTTATTGTTCTCTCCTCCACTGGTATCATACCACACACATTACACAAAAGCCTGGGCACATTACAATTGAACAGAAATGCATACATCACAGTACAGAAGGCCACTGTACTGAATACATGTCATATTGCTAGGAAATTCCTGAATACACACATACACACTTCTTTACTTTCTGTTTTGTTATAATAAGACATTATATACTTAATTTACTTCAATTTAGTTCATCAAGTTTTTAGTTAATAGCTATTATTTATAATTCACTAAATTTAAAAAATTATAAAGATTATGATTTTGAAAATGTTTTAATCTTTTTCACTATTTTCTGTTAAGGTATAATTAACAATTGCTATTTAAAATAATTCTATTGCTTCCAAGTGTGATTTTTATAGCAACTAACTTTTGTATAAATTGAAAGTAAATTTCAAAAACTATATATTTTTGAATTTTTTACTACATAGTTAACATTTCCATTACTCAAAGTAACATAATATATGTAACTTACCAATTGTTGGATCATACTCATCCACAAAACTAGAAAAAAATAAATAAAAATCTTAAAATTTTTTAATTTAAAAAGTTAAATTATAAATTAAACAAAATGTGTAAAGCAAAGAACTGTGATGTACCATAAAAACCAAAACTAATTAAAAACAATTTTCAAACATGAAAAGAAGACATGACATTTGATATAATGCAAAGGATTAGAATATGAGGTTATTACAAATGAATCACTGAGTTTTACAGTCCCATAACTTCAAAGTATTGAGCTGGGTTGTCCACACCAGACAAAACAAAAGAAAAACCCTCCAAATTTGAAACATGTGCAAAGATTTTCTTGCAACACACCAGGTGTCAGCACGATGTCCATTATCAAAATTGTGGCTAAGCAGCAGAAGGCATTTCCAATGACCATCTTTCAGCAGGATGGTGCTCTATCTCATTAGCATACTGAGGTGCTTTAATACCCAAATGCAAAACTTCCACACCACCGGATTGGGTGCTGCAGTAACTGACTTAGCACTGTACAGATGACTCCCAGATTCTGAACCTCACATCTTGTGATTTTTTTCTGTCGGGGTATGTAAAGGACAGTTTGTGTGTTGCCGTTATCCATATCTTTGGCAGAGCTCTGGGATTGCATTATCATTGCAATAATGACTAACCAGGGAAACATGCTACAATAGGACAAACTGTACTACCGCTTGAACATGTGTCATGTTATCAAAGGAACACATGCAGTCCTATAACACGAACTTGAACAGTTTCTAGTTCTTTTAATGTATCACTTAGTGTTAAATCAGAATTATTATTGGAAATACAACTGCTTGAAATCTGATGATTAATTTGTAATAACACTATATATTTTACATTCTGAAAATTAAAAACTTTGAATAAACTAAATCAACAAGCACCAATTGAGAAAAAAAATAATGAAATTAAATTGACCTGTCATGTAGTAGATGGATAAATGAGAATCAAGTAAAAAGAAAAAATGAGAAAAATAAATGACAACTGGAGAAAACAAAACTATATAGAAAAACAATCACTATTCATAATTAATTGTGATCATATGTTCATATTATGCACAAATTTTCAATGTAATAGCTTATAAATTCAAGAATTCTATCTTATATTTCAGTTCTTGAATTCACAAAACAATTTTTTCATATTTAATTCAGTATTACTTTGCTTAATCCTTATGAAAAAAAAATTTCAAGATATTTTATATTCATGTAAAATTATGTACTGCACAACATTATATGTAAAATTAAACACAATAGAACAAAGCATTTAATAAAACATTTATAATTAAATGCTTTGTTTTATGTATGTATGTTCCAATAAAAATTAATTAATACTTTTTTCTGTTATATCTTAAAATTTATTAAAATGCAACAACATAAAATACACATTTGAAAAGAATAAAGCCACCTCCACACATTTGGTATTTGCCAGTTGTCAAATAAGTGCCTATTTGTCTTTTTTGATTTGAAACAATACACCAACAAGGAGTGGGAACAGGCAAATACCAAATATTAATCCCAACTAAATCAGCCACACTACTCAGTATATCTGGCCAAATGTTTTCATTTAGCATGCATGTCAGCATTTGATAAATACCAAATGTGAAGCCAACTTAAGATGTTCATACTTGTCATATTGTATTATTGTATTCTTAACAAGTGTAATCTGAAGAAAGTTCAAATCATTTTAGCAAAATATTGTTGAAAAATTTATAAACCATTAATAAGATGAGTAAAACCACCTCTTAACACCAAAAAGACAGTTTATTCCTTTTGATTTATTTTGGTGTGTGCTTTAGTCTATTGCAATTTAACTGTGATTCATTATTATATACACATATATATATAAATATTCTACTGTATGTTACCGCTAAAGCTCGAAATCCGTTAATGTGTACATTACCTAGCTAATCTGCAGATTAACTAGGGTGATCCGTTAAAGCTGCTAAAATTATTCCATTTCTCAAATTACCTACTAGGCACTCGGTAAAGTTAAAATAAGATCTTTGCTGGAACAACAGCAACGTTTCTGTACGCTTAAATTAACATAATGTTATTTATTTAATTTTCAATATCTAAAGAATCAAGTTAATACAATCAAACAATCAACAAATTAGTTGATTGAATCAATCATCAATCAATTAAAAAAACTTTAATACAAAAATCAAACGGTTTAAAATATTA